AAAAAAAAAGACACTTCTTCAGTCGTTGAAATTATCTGGTAATAATTTACATATTGGTTATTTATTGAAGGATAGTTTATTCAAATATTTTGGATATATGAAAGATATATACAATTCTCCAAAAATCTCCACACATATAAGCTAGCAACATCTCTATTTATAATAACACGAAACCAATTTTAACTAGAACAGAAAAATCTATTACTAAATAATTCTGACTTCAAATTCTACTGAGACATAAATTAGATAAACTAGAAATTGTCAAATTTTGAACAATTTAAGTTTTCTACTACAATTTTGAATTAGTTTTTTTAATATTCTCCCGTAATTTAAAGTTGTATACGTTTGACTTTTTTGTTGTTGTGTTGAAGCACTTTCTTGAACTTCCACTTGTTGATGCACTTTTCATCGACCTTCAATTATTTTTGTTGAAACACTTCTTTTCAACCTTCATTTACGGGAGTACTTCTCTCCAACTCCAATTATTAATGCACTTCTCATCAACATTCAATTATTGAAGCGCCTCTCTTTAACTTTCAATTGTCGAAGTATTTCTCTCCAACTCCCAATTGTCGATGCACTTCTCATCAATATTCAATTGCTTAAGCAATTTTCTTCAACCTTCAATTATTGGAGCATTTCTCTCCAAATTTCAATTGTTGGTGCATTCTACCAATATTCAATTGTTGAAGCAGTTTTTTTCAACCTTCAGTTATTGAAGCATTTCTCTCCAATCTACCATTTTTTTGTTTTTCCTTTTTGGTTCAACTTTTCTTTAACTTTTAGAGTCCTTTTATTGCATATTTTCTTGTACCTCTTTTAACTTGTAATGTTTTTTTATCCTTCCTAGCATCAATTTTTTTACATGCATATATTATTGGGCCGGCGTTTTCCAACATATATTGGCCAGATGGGTGACACACATTAGCTAGCTAGCATCGCCCGTAGGTTGCAGAAGCTATTGGTTCTCTCCCAAGATAGTAGAAGTTCTAATATCAATATGAAGAAAAATATTCGATTAAAATATTCTGAATCTCTAAAAGGTCTCTATAATCTTTTACAAATTTCCACACATAAAATAAGACAAAAATTACACTCTTTGTTCGTTGGGCTAACAATCCAATTAATTTTGTCCCATATTTTTGCTTCTTAACACAGTTTGACGCAGGTTGTATCATCCTTTATCCAACTATTAAAGACATACTTATGATGTTTTTCTCTTCTTTCTTCATTTCCAACCCACTCAATTTTCTCTCCTGCCTGCTATCGCTTCTTTTTCTCTAACTCACATAGATATATATATATATATATATATATATATATTTATAGATCTCAAACTTGATTTAAAGCATTTTTCCTACTAAGTTGCTTAATCTTCCCAAATATTTATAGATCCCAAATATTTGAATCTCAGATTGATGGGTGTCCAAATTTGAAGTTGAAGTTTTGATGCAGCCAGCCTCGAAACTCCATTGAAGGAGCTTTGAAGCTCGAAGTTCAACTTGGATCTGGAAAATCTTAATCAAAAGCGATACTTGAATCTAAAGTGCTGGGTTGATTTTATTTGATTAACATTTGTTTTGAGAATTAGACCAGTTGAAAAAGAAGTTGAAGATGAAACCTAATTTTCATATACAACATTATACGTCATTATGCAATATTATACAAAATTATAATAAGTATATAAATATTTATATAGTGTTGTATATTTAGTGTGAAAATATTATTATACAACATTAATCTTTTTTTTCCAATTTTTATTCCACTTAGTGTAGTGGTCCTACCGTTGAAGTAAGTTCTTCGTAGTCATTTTAGCTTTGTTGTGTTTCCCTTTTGCTTTTGCATCGCATATATTTTATTTGGATCTTTTTTTTTTTTGCTTTTACTTCGTTTCCTCTATGTTTTAAATTAACACTGATTTTGCTTTTCTGTGCTGGTGAAATATACCGATATACATTATTATACATTTCATATATAAGTTATATAAGGTTATACATCATTATACATATACTGTACAAGTGCAGTTAAAAGCTAAAATTGAAATTTTTGTATTTTTTCCTTCTAACAATCTATGTATTCGATTTCTTTGTTGATTTCGCTGCCAAATCATGTACTTCCAGATTTTTCTTTCCTTGTTGATTTCATTGCCAAATCAGGCACTTTTTAATGACCCGCGCGGTAGTTTTGAGGTTTAGCATTTTGTTCGGAGGTTTGAGACTTTGAGTAGCTTTATAAGATGTATTATGACTTACGTGTATGGTTGGTTTGATTTTTGAGAGGTTTGGAGTTGATTTGGAAGAGTATTTCTCAATTTGGAAAATTAAAGTTGGAAGAGTTGATCAAGGTTCAAGTTTTGAGTAAATGACACCGGAATCGATATTTTATGGTTTAAGTTGGTTGGTATAGTGATTCTGTACTTGGGCATATGTTCACATTTGAATTTTGACATTCCTAGAAGTAGGAGAGTTCATGGTTCGGTTTGGATCGGGTTTTCCCTAAAAAGAAACCAAACCAAGTAAGTCGGTTTTTCAAATATTAGAACCAAATCAAACTAATTAAGTCGGTTTTTCTCGATTCGGTTTATATCGATTTTTCGGTTTTTTCGGTTATTTATCGTTTTTTCTTAAATATAAGACATACACTACAAAACACACATTTCGGCGACCACATTTTCAATGTAACACTATCAAATCAATTGCCCTTTGAGAAATCTATTACTTGCCAAGATATATTGATGATAATTGAATCAAATAGTAATGAATAATTTAAGGACTCAATTAAAAATATATTATTTTTAGCATGAAATAGATTCTTACACTTAACAAAAGAAAACTACCAATTAAACTAGAATGTATAGGTAAAGAACTGTACTAAAAGTGCAAACGATTAATTTTTTGATATAAATTTTTAAAATTTTTGTATAAAAGTATACATATATATAGATGTAATAATAAATTTAAAATAGCTACTCCTATATTCGGTTTGGTTCGGTTTTTTTTAATTAAAACCAAAACCAAACCAAATTTGATCGGTTTTTAAATTTCAAAACCAAACCAAACCAAAAAGTATCGGTTTTTTTGGTCTGTTTGGTTCGGATTTTCGGATTTTTATGAACACCCCTACCTAGAAGGTTTTGGCCTTATTTATCGAAAGTTGGCAATCTGAAGAATTGGAGAGTTCATAAGTTTGACCGGAAGTTGACATTGATGTTATCGGACTCCTATTGTGGTTTGATCCCTTGGTTAGCTTTTTAGTCGATTGAAACATGTATGCAAAGTTTGGTTGCGATCCAGAATGTCTAAGTGTGATTTGGATGAGTTTGACGAAGTTTGAAGATTTGAAGTTAAGGGAATAGTTTTTTTATCTTCAATTCATGATTTTGATATTATTTGTGGTGTTTTGAACCTTTT